AGCTATCACATAGCCTTGAACCTGCACTTCTAGTAAATTATACTAATTGCTAACGGGGAAGTGTTTCTTTAGAAAGGGGACAGTGGGTAGTCTCCCACCTCTCCGCTAATCTCCACAGACTATTCATTATTTAGTCATCTTAAGCCACGACCTACAATCAATCATGATACTAATGATGGTACAACCAAGTGTCAATCGCAGTTCCCTGTTTTGAAAATGGAATAAACATCAGTAATCTTTTCGGTTGAAAAAACTCTGCAGCAAAAAAGTCTAGTTTTATTCAACAGAGAATTAAATCTGTTTGAATACCATCCATATCCTCACTGATTAGCAATAGATTCACAGAATTTTAGGGAAAGGAAAGTTGCACGCAGTGGTGGCCCCAAAAAGTTGCTGACCAGGGGTCTGACTGGGGAGTCCGACCTGTCTGACAGTGGGGTCCAAACCAAGGGGACCACTCGAGCCTCAATCAGGGTTCTGGAATAAAAATCGTAGTAGGGTTCAAAAGGAGAGTTTATATGGCTTAGTATGGCCCAAAATTTTGCTTTTAGACCACAATATTACGGATTGGCAATCCAACGTTTTGGATAGACAAATTAATATCTTTTGTTCAATGACCTTCGTTGTGGTGTCGGATGACGGGGTGTCCAGGCCTGTTCAAGTGGGTGGTGGGGGAGTCTTGCTCACCAGGCTCCCCACTGGAAAATTACCGTGAGGAAAAAATTTACACATTAGATTAAAATCATCTTATAACACCTTCATTTCTCTAGCGAGTGGCCCGCCCAATTTTCCCTGTCACCTCCCTATCAGTTCCAACATATCTCCTACCTAAATATGCACTAGTAATTTGTACGCCAAACTGGCATTCTACTATTACAAATTTATTTCAGCACAAAATGAACCAATTCGTAGAAAATGTGTTTATATGAAGCCAACTCTTCCCAATTGGGCAGAGTGACTAATAAGGATTAGCGATTAGAATGAAGAACTGGTGGCAATTTATCTTTGGTATTTTGTTCTTTTTTTTTGTTTTCATGTTGTCATGTTGTCATACTCCATAACTCTTTTGTGTTTTCGTGAACATGTGGTGTTTTCGTGGACATAGAGCACATTTCAAAATTTTCGATGAGATCATGAGGCCGAGTCAAGGCAGTTGGGGATGGCACTTGACACGATTGTGACACGTGAACACAGGTGGCTGCAGTCTTGGGGATTTGACCAATTTTAACTTTGACAGTAGGCCTATACCTTCGGCTACACCTGGTAATTTCAAGGTAATCATTTATTAAACTAAATTTACATGAATTTATATTAATAAGCTAAGTGGAAAATTACCACTTGTTAATTAACATATTCATGAATATTCATCTGGCTAACTGGAAAACTGTCTAGTAATGTAAATTTACCTGAATTTTTCTGTTGATAATTTGAATATAAGACCACCTGGTAGTTAAAAATATGACCACCTGGTATAAATGTATTTAAATATACCTTTAGCTAATTAGAATATAACCACCAGTTAATTTCACTATAAGCATCTAGCAATCAAAATTGACATAATTTACCTGTAAGTAATTTGAATAAGCCACATGGCAATTTAAATTTATTTGAACTGGTAACTTCAATGCATACACCTGGGTATTCTAATCTTTTATATTTAAATTTCATTTACTACCAAGGTGATTAGAACATAACCATCAATTAACTTAAATACACCCACCTACTAAATAAATTATAGTTTAGTACAAATACATTCAAGGAACACATTAAATATCATTATATAGGCCTAGTTCAGACTAGATGAATAAACCCAGCTCAACCCGGCTCAACCCGGTTTATCCACCTGCCTGTCTGAACTAGGTGGCTTATCTCAAGCCGGGCTGTGTTCCTATAGTAACTAGGCCTGGCGCTTCACCGTGTTTAACTTTTCTAAGCTGGGCTTTAATCATTGCGGGGGGCCTTGCATTGACTTCGGGTGATGAAATGACCAATTAGCATTCAATTAAGTACGCTGTGAGTGAGCGTACGTTTCGCGAGCAATGTTTTGAAACACGTTTCCTGGTTACGGTTCATTATTATGCAAATTCTTGCCTGGCTAAACCTGCTAGTCTAATGCCCGGCAAAGTTAGGCCGGGCTTAAAGTTGAGCCGGGCTTAACTCAAGCCTGGCTTATCTCCAAGTCTGAATGTAGCCATAACCCATCAATTTGAAGCAATATACACAAACACCTGTATATTTGAATATAAACACCTGGAAATTTGAATTTAACCACCCACCTGGTAATGCTTCTGGATGTGCTCCTGATCAACAGTCTCTGCAATACCATATGACTGGTAGATATCCCGTACATATCCCCAAATGCTTGGGTAATCAACAATACGTTTCTTGTTGCACTGTTAAAAAGTTTAAAACAGAAAATTGATTTATCAATGTTAAGTAAAGCCTTCTTCTCCAACTACTCTATTTGTCATAGTAGTGTAATTGTTTGACTTGTTGATTAAGATGCTTTCCTTTTAATATAGGGTCCTCGGTTTGCCTTATGAAATGAAAGTGATTTCTAAATTATTTTAAGAGAGTGGTACAGTTTGCTACTGGCAATCTAAATTCTCCTAAATGAATAGAATAACAATTAAATAAATTATTTAAAAGAATATATACTCTGTTGAGATTAAATTTAAAATTATTTAATGGTGAGAATCTTATTATGCAGAGCGATTCTGTTAACCTTCCCAGTATACACCAGCATCTAACCTATCAGTATTAATTTATTCAGTATGTATATGAAGTACACCTTCAGTTTAATTTAATTTCAATTTTAAGCACTTATTTTATCTGACTGGCTGCAGACATCACTCATGCACAATCATCCCCAGTTTAGCTGATCTCAGCTGTAAAGGAATTACTACACCAAGAACAATGATGTACTATATGCACATAACAATGCTAGTTCACCAAACAAATATTTTTATGAAGCTAAAACAGTAACAGTACTTTCTGCTAAGCCCAACACCTTGGATACTGTTGCTAAGGTATGTAGGACAAGTATGTTTATGAGACATTTGCATATTTCTGGCCCTGATCTGATTGGTCAGTTTTTAAGTTTGATTGGCACTCCAGAAAGTTCCACTGTTATTCCAGCAACTGTTAGGGGTAGCAATGGTTATACTGTACCTTGAAGTGGCCAACATAAACGGTATCAAAGCGCACAAGAGTAGTGAAGAGTCTAACGTCAGCTTCAGTGAATGTGTTTCCAGTTAGGTAGCGTTTTCCACGAAGAATCTCCTCAACCTACAATGAAAACATATAAGCAAACATAGTCTTGTATTTACTACTTACTGAATCAGTGGCGCCAATTTCCACCCTTAACACGAGCATGGGACCCAGCTATTTGATGGCACGGTCGTTGGGCTAACAAAATTTATTTGTTGACCCAATAGATTTGTTATTGACAATCCCTAATATTGCAGTCCAAATAGCATATCAATCATATCTTTTATTCCAAAACGATCAACTCTAGGGGGTACACGCCTTGGTTTGGATCTGCATGTTAGTGTCCTAACAACAATGATAATAATAATAATAATAATAATAATAATAATAATAATACAGGTCTCCCTCCAATTAAATACCACTTTTGGACCAGGGTTTCCATAGACTTTAGTAGCTTTGGTTTCTAATTAGAAAAATAAAGATAAAAAGACATTTGTGAATTTGGAACAACAGAAAAGTGGTCTTTAATTGGAGGGGTCTTTAATTAGAGGGAAACCTGTATTTGCAATAACTAAATGTTTTATTGTACATGTTATTTAAAAGTGATGTTATTTAGTTTTTACTTTACCTTATCCAGATGTACAAATACTTGTCTAACCGCTTCATCATATGCCTCTTGGGTGGTAGCGAAACCTGCACGATAGACACCATTGTTGATGTTTCTATTTCAGCAAAAGTAAGGTGACAATTTGTAAATAAATTTCTATACACTGCATATACTATAATTATATAGTTGCTATAAAAAAAAGTATAATAACTATCACAACAACAATATTAATTTGAATTTTCTGCTATTTTATTATATAAATATCAAAATACACAGAAAATTTATATCATCAGACTATTTTTTATGAAAATCCATAATATATCAGGCAATTTAAGGGCCAAAAAATATATCTGTTATTTGTGAGGAAATTAGTTTCATTAACCTACTTAAATATACTAAAGTGAGCAAATAAAATGTAAAAAGATATTAACAGTAGCTCAACATAGGCAGTCTATCATAAATAAAAACACTGTCTACATTTTATTGATTTTTTTTTACAGTTTGGTAAAGTACAGTTTGGTGATTATTCTTAATTCATGGACATCTTCTTTTGTTACCAGGGCAGCTACATATGTTTTGTGTTTGAAAATGCATCTATGCTTGTCAGAAATGGTTTCCCTATTATTGGTTCATTCCTCGAAATTTGATGCGCAAGTTTAAGGCTTGAAGTTTCAGAGTTCTTTAGTCCGGACCTTATTGAGGATATGCTTCCTGTACCGAGTCGTTTTGGTTATTCTGCACAAAATGAGCAAGTTTTTGGTGACACGTGGTATTTAGGCATTCTAGTCTCTGATTGATTTGTCGTTTACAACGCTTCCTTCCCATGTGGACTGTATTCGTGCCCTCGACTGTTTTAAGAAACCCTTTGAACCCTTAACTGTCTTTCTTTGAAAAGATCTACAATTACATTTCTAGGATACACTTTTTTGTAGTGGATTTCATCACAAGATCTTAAAAAAGTAAATAATTTAATTCTCTTCCTGAATAGGGGAAGAACAACAATTATAATGTGATTTTGATTTCATATACAATAATAATAATAATAATAATAATAATACAAGTGCTCAGATAGGGACATATTGTATTAATCGTATCACATGTAATTTTTTATTGTTATTACACAGCAAAATACAAGCTATTATTATTAAAGCTGACTTCCTAACATTAATTGTTATCACTATAATCTCCCCATGCTGTCAAGGAGAGAGCTGCCAAGGCTTCAATTTTCTCAACATAAACACTAACTTTTAAAATGTTAAGCTGCTCTCTTTCTAAACACATATATTTGGGAACGTACTGAATACTCAGTATGTTCCCAAATACTTGAAAAAAAGTTTACAAGTGATACAGTTGGAAATCGAACCCACGACTTCCAAATAACTAGCCTGGTGCCACAACCACTAGACCATGAGCCTGCGCTTCGTGACTAGTGTTGAATCCGATCCCCAAGTAGCAGCAGATACTGCAATGCTATTTCGATGTGCGTTTGCATCAGGAAAATATTATAGGAGTGATATTTTTTTCTAACATTTCTTTTTCATGTAGGGCAATTAGATATATATTAACATGTTAGGTAGGGCAAAGCATCACTCCCATATAAGATATTTTCTTGATGCAAACACACATCGAAATAATATCATTGTATTTTATGTTTTAAATATTTTTCTTTATGTAGTGCTCAATAATGAACTATGATAAAGTGAATACTGAATTGAATATTACTAAAATGTGCTACTGTGCAAAGCAATTAAAAAAAAAAAAAATCTAAAGTTTTGTCAACCTTCAATCTTGAAACAATTATCATAAACAATTAGTGAGCCGTACAGTTTTGCATTATGGCAAGTATTTCTGCATTTTTCCAATTTAGTCATGGGATATTTAATTATGAAGGTGAAGCAAGGATTTTGGGTGAAGGTCGTGCGATGGTGAAAGCAGATTTTTTATGTAAAGTTTTTTTTTTTTTAATTTCAGTTAACAACTTGAAAACTTGAGAAAAAAAAGCGGTGGGTGAAGGAACCACTGAAATCTAGTTCAAGACTCGATGATTCAGTCCGTGCGAATTTACAACAGATGAGTGGTCACTATCAATTAAACAGAAAGCATCCTCTATAAAATGCAAACTCCTCATTTTGAGACTTGCAGGCCTGATTCAAATATATTCTCCAGAAGTACAGTTTAAAAAAAAAATTATTCTACAATAAACAAAGTAATTTACAATTGAAACTAAATTCTTTAAGCAATGTCTTTCTATATTACAAATATTAACAGTAAAAGTATAGTAGTTCACTTTTTTGTAAGTGCAAACAATAGGCAAAATAAGTCATTTTCAGGTTTTATTCAACTTAGGTGGTGGTGCAAAGCAATAGGTTGTTTAAATAAGTAACCTAATTATTTGGAAGAGAAAAATGTTGTTTAATTTTTGAAAATATACATTTAGGAGCCATTTTTAATATTCCACAATGAAAATTCTATATTTTCTGGGAAAAATTGTAAAAATTCCAGGAAGTGGGGATCTTCCATAAATATCTGGGAAACCCGCAAATTTCGGCGAACTTGGGAGGTCTGTGTCACATAAATTTGAGTCTGGACAAAGCCTTAAGAAGTTAAGAATGCATTATGTCTAAAGAAATGTTTTAAAAGAACAATTTTTTTTTGGTATGAGTCATGGACGATTAGGGGAATGGTCTGTTCGACAGGAGTAGGGAGTTTAATCCCAAATGCTGGTGCCACCGTGGCTCACAAATGCTTCCTTTCCTTCCATCTGCAACATCCTCAATCCTTCAAGCCAATAAACTCTGTATCTAGTGCCATTGTACTTTTTCAGTTGACGTAACGTTGTGAATCGCAGAGTTCTCAAACATGTTTGGGTTGATTTAGCGTACTATCTAGACAAGATACCACTGAGTGATAATACTTAGCGTAGTGTGATTGACAAGTCTGATCTGCGTTCATGATAACTTCCCATAGAAACCTGGTGCCGCCTATCCCAATGTCAGGGTCAGCCTCGCGTCATAGTGATCTGGCTGACTGCGCTGCCTGTGGAATATGCGTGATTTTCTCGGCAAAAAGCAGGAACTTGCATAATTGATCTTGGGCTAAGTAGGATGGTGTGGCGTCCAGAGTGACTGACTAGATGTCTTTCAGTTTTATTAATACTTCTCTCGGATCTAATTTTTTCTTTTAAATTGCTGTTTGCTCATTTGGATTTGTTGCAGATATTCTGACATTTATCCTCTAGTTTTGAGTCACATGACCATATGTAACCTGCCAAGTGTAAAATTTGGATAATCATTTTCATTACACAGAGTCATACCTGATTTTCTGTTCTTCCAAAATTACTATATAATGAATAGAGCATGGATAAAAAAAATCATGTAAAAGACTCTGTCTGTGTTGAATGTTATATAATATTCAAACATAAAATTTAGTATTGCTTAATATGTATATAGCTCTCAAATGAAAAACAAAATGAGAAAAAAAATGTCCATGCTAAATAAAGAATGCATAATTAATAGAGTCTCTATTGTTTTTGCATAATGTTGATAAAAGTTATTAAATTAGGTGATAATAATTTTTTTTGCATGAGTGAAAAGCCTCTAAATCCGAAAAAAAAATGTTATGATCTGTGTCACTAAAATTTGATGACTTAGAAAACTGTTATATGCCCATATATAGTCATGATGTGCTTTTCTATGGTCATGATCATGATGTAACATCATCATGACTATATTAAGGCATGTCACATGTTATTGTCAAATAAATATGTAATAGTCTGGAGTGTTATTTGATTCTACTTAATTAACAAATTTAATAATTTAACTGAATATTTTAGGGGTCATCTACATTCTTCCACAGACTGTAAGTGTTGATAGAAAAAAAAAGAAGTTGGCTGCTATCCTGGCCCGGGATTTATCAATCTCAGCTTAGCAAATGTCTTAAGTCAAAAAAGTTAAGATGTCCCTAATAATTATCTTAAGCTGATTTATTACCCAATCTTAGCAAAATCTTGGCTTAAAAATCATCTTAGATGGCACCAACGTACAATCGACTTTCTAATTTTAAGAAATTTTAAGCTAAGCAATATGGATAAATTTGACTCAAGCAAAAAAATGGACTTAAGACGAATTTAAGCTGATTTCTAGTTTGATAAATCTGGCCCCTGGCAACCATTTGTTACATAAGTACAAAAGCCTTTTTTTCCCAGGTTTGTAATAGTAGATGATTGAGCTATTTTGGATTTCCAACATCCCAGCTTGCTTTCTTTCGAAGGTCTATGAGTGATAGATTGATGGGCTAAGACTGACCAAATCTTGGTCTTGTAAACCTTAAAACTAGTTTGTTTTTCGGATGATTTGCCGATAAAAGAGAATAATAGGAGCCAATGAATCACGATTGAATAATTACCAATAAGAGTAAAAAATTGACGTATGTAGTGATTTCATTTTCAACAACTGTGATGGACTTTTGCGGTTTGGAGAAAACATTTCAAAATGCGAAGGTCGTTCACAGTGAGTTTTTATGCCCTCAGGTATAATGCTCATAGTGCTATAAAAAAGTATGAGAAATACTGTAGGTTCCGATACAAATTTTATTCAATATCCTATCACATGCTTGAATGCTAAAGTTGATTCTGAGTTTAATGATCATTAATACGCCAATCCACAGCACATTTCAACTTTTATCTTGCGTATAATCATCTAACTAAAAGCTAATTGCTAACACCTTTACTATCAATTTTATAACTGAGCTACAGCGATTTTAATTGCTTTTGTTAATCCCTGCCTCTTTAGATCTACTTCTTCAGTATTGTCAATTTTGATTAGTTTTTGTTTTACTTTACTGTACGTAGCAATTGTATTGTAAGTTTTATGAAAGGCAAAATAATGAATAAAATTTTACTATAATCTCGTAATTATCTCTTATTAAACATGCAATTCTTATATTTTCCTCATGTTTACATATTCAACTTTGGAAAATAATGCTTTTGTACATTTCACTATAAATAAATAAATAAAAATAAATAAATAAAAATGAATAAATAAATAAATAAATAAATAATTGAACTGCTCATTCAACAAGACTGGCATAAGTCATCAACTTTTGCTAAATCACAAA